CACTCCCCCCCCCCCCCCAAAAAAAAAAGAACCTGGGACCTATTAAATGAGAGGCGAACACCTTAACTTCTAGACAACAAGAGTACCCCCTCCCCCCCAATTGAAGTTCGAACCTGTGGCATATTCAGGTCGTCAATGAAGATTATGAGTCGTTTATTGGAGGGCGGCCCATAGGTGTCTTTGGTCCTTTTCTCCACGTTGGCCTCCAGGTTCCGCTGGACGTCCAGTGACGTGGTCCGTGAGGAGAAGTTCATGGTCAGCAGCAGCTGTGGGCGAGTGGGAGTTTTTAGCAAAACAAAAATAAAACCCCTTCAAAAACAAAATAAAAGTAAACGTTAATAAATAGAAATGTCTGTTTTCTGTCATGAACAACAACAACAGCAACAACGACAAAACAACAACAACAATAACAACAACAACAATAATAACAACAATAACAATAACAACAACAAAAACACCGCTTAGTTTAGTTTTAGCAAGAGTTTTACGGCACTTGCAACACAATAAGGTCATATAAGTGCCAAAGATTAGCGGTGTTACAAGAGAGTAACAAACACAAAAAAGGAGGCTGAGTGAGAAGGACGATAGTTTCTTATAGGAATGAGCAAACCACACCAGAGCACCCGCCAACCACCACCACCACCATCAACAACAAACAACAACAACAACAACAACAACAACAACAACAACAACAACAACAACAACAACAACAACATGTTTGTCACAACCATATCCTCATAAAGCCAATCTTTTATTTTTTCTGTATAGCCTGTTTTCTCGAAATGCGGTTTTCTATTATCTATTTGTGGTGGCCGAATTTTGCTATTCAAAAGGCTTTTTAATGGCTGCATCGATCGACATGCGGTTTTCGCCACAAGATTCTTTAAAATATTCTCCAGATCATGACGCCCTTCGTTTTTTCAGTTTTGAGACAGTTTTGCTGCAAAAAGCTAAATTTCTTTATTTCGCCGATCGCTTTTGTAGGCCGACGCTTCTGTCTCTGCAATTTTAGAAAATCCGCCAGGTTTGTTCATTTCAAGACGTACTTCCGTTCGATACTATCGCGCATTGTCGCGCAAAACTGAGCACTATTCTAAGTGTGCAACCCGTAGGCTATGGATCTACCCTCATGTTTTCTTTTTTTACTTGGTGCTAAATTCGACTGTGATCCTTTCGTTTGATGCCCACCATCGCTTTTTCTGGACTACTTAGTCAAATTCTTTTTCTTGCTACTGGGAACAATGTTAACAGGTTTTAGATTAGAATCTAGATCTGCACCGATCATTCCTGTCATCGAAAGGGGGCCCAGCTAGTTCTATATACTTTTATTTTCATAATTCCACCATTTTTCATCCAATCTTCATGAGATTTTCACAGAATAAAGAAAAGAAGTAATACTAAAACTAAAAATGAATTTTTGATATATGGAATAGTTTTTCGTTGATGGTGTTTGGAATGTGGATTTTCAAGGATTTTTTTGCAAACGTGAATTTCATACTACCTCAGGAAAATATTCATTAAAAATGTTATAGGACGTTTAGGAAAAATTCATCACACAGATTTGTAGATCTATGGTTTGCCAAAATGCATGCAAAAAACAATTTATTTCCATGAAAAATGAATGGGGTATTGATTACGTAAGATATGTCAACAAAATCCAATATGTTCGCCGTATCCATGGAAACGAAACTTTTTTTTCTCAAACTTGATTGCCGATTTTAAGACTCCTTACTATGCTTGTTATATATGTGAATTTTGGTAACATTTGATCCCCTAATAAGCGAGATAGCCTTCAGCTGTAGCCCCCTTTCCCGCCTCTTAAACTGATCTCAATTTTCAAAAGTCCCCCTCTTTCATTCACCCCCTGTGTCTTCTATACCCCCCCCCCCCTTTTCTCTCTCTCTCTCTCTCTCTCTCTCTCTCTCTCTCTCTCTCTCTGTCTCTCTCTCTCTCTCCCCATCTGTCTTTCACACTCCCCCCTCTCCTCTCTCTCTCTCTCTCTCTCTCTCTCTCTCTCTCTCTCTCTCTCTCTCTCTCTCTCTCTCTCTCTCCCCTCTCTGTCGCCCAAAGACTTACATGTGTCTCCTCATCAATACCACGGAGAAAGTCCAGTATGGTGGCAGTCTTCGAGGTTCCCGTCTCCCCCACCAGCACCACAGGTCGCTTTATGTTCATCATCAGCTGCAGCAGCCACGTAGCTCGGAACTGAGCCGCACACACATGGTGGGAGAGAGAAAAGAGCACAATATACACCTCAGTGAACGTATCTTTTCGTTTTAGTAAGAGCTTTACGGCACTTGCAACACAATTAAGTCATATACCTACCAAAGATTAGAGGTGTTACAAGAGAGTAACAAACACAAAAAAGGAGGGGAGACAGAGATGATAGATAGAAAAAAAGGAGCAAACCACACCAGAGCGTTTATCTGCCACTCATTTTTTAGCGTGAGTTAAAATAAGGGTACGAACACGGTGACACGGACAGACAGGGACAGCTACTTGCTGCCGCACAGGGACGGACAGGCACAGGGAAATGTGGCCACTTTCAAACAGGCAGCAAGAGACAGCAACATTGTCAATCATGGCGCTGACAAAGAAGAAGAAACTCTTATTATTATTGTGGTTACGAAGGAAATTAAGACGTTCACGAATTTCTAATCGAAGACATGCGGTTCATCCTATTAACAAAAAACGCTTTTTTGTTAGGTGAATATCACCATCTCCTCCCACAGCTTGTGAATGATGAGGAAAAATTCATTGAATATTTTCGAATGCAGCCTTCAACATTCATGGCCAATGGTCTCCCACTGTTTCAATATATAATCACGATTAGCGTGGTGTTTTTAGCTCTTGTCATAAATTGCTGGCTTTTCTTGCACCGCAATGATCAGTTTCTCTTCAAAATCCTCCATCTTGACATGAACAATCACTGTGATCGTATCTTTATTTAACTCCCTTGAAACAGACAGACAGGAGAAGTAGTGCACGCACTTTTCGAATTTTTCTGACTGTCACTGACTGTTTCTGTCTGTGCCTGTCCGTGTTCAACATAGCCGGGTTGGTGTGTTTTAAAAGAAATCATGAGCGGTTTTGGCGTGCACGCTTTTTGATGTGTTGCTGTGACAGCAACTGACTGTCCTTAGGAAGAGTTTTACGGCACTTGCAACACAATAAGGTCATATAAGTGCAGAAGATTAGAGGTGTTGCAAGAGAGTAACAAACATAAAAAGAAGGAGGAGAGATAAAGACGATAGATGTTTGATAGAAAAGAAGAAGCAAACCACACCAGAGAACCCGCCAACCACCCACAATGTATTTTTATAAGGACATAAAAGGTGTTGAGCTAAAAAAAAACCCCAAAAATGGCAGTAATTGCCAAACTGAAAGAAAAAAGCCTGTTTCTTCGATTTCATTATTTTGACTAGGGCCTGATTTCCCCTTGATGCCTCACAATAAATTATCACGAGCAAACAGCACGCGGAGCCCACTCACCGTCTCCACCGTGGGCACGAGGATGTCGTAGAACTTTCTCTGGGGGTCGTGCACGTACTCCGGGACCAGCTTGGCCCAGGGCACCCACACACGTCTGTCCACGTCATACGTGAAGTCGTACAGCGTCTTCCAGCTGGGCAATTCTCCTGAGAGAAAAAAAAATGGTGAACTGGTACGGGTTTAACGCCTCTATCAACACTATTAGGTTATTCAAGGGGCGGGACCTCTAAGTTTAACGTCCGTCTCCGAAAGGACCGAGCCAAGTGGGAAGTTCGTGTAAAGTGCCTCTCCCAAGGACAAAATGTCGGACCGAGCTGAGGCTCGAACCCCCGAACCCGCAACCTCACGATTACGAGTCGGGTAGCCTGACCACTAGGCTACCAACGTCACGCAATTCTCCTGGTTTAAAGAAAATATTGAACGGCTTGTGGTTTTTACGGCTCTTACGACACCGTATTTTTGTTTGCGTGTGAAACTTGGACCTTGAATGCAGACCTTGAAAGAAGGATCAAAGCTGTGGAGATGAGACAGATGCTTCCTAAAGATTCTTGGTATCTCATACAAAGATCACACCACAAATGATGAAGTCAAACAACGAATCAAAAATGAAATCGGACAATACGTTGATCTTCCCACTTTGGTCAGGAAACGTAAACTGCAATGGCATGGGCATATCAACGTTCATCCGGCCTTGCCAAGATGATCCTTCAAGGCAGCGGCCAGGGAAAAAGGAGCAGAGGCAGATCGAAGAAGAGTTGGGAGGACAACATCAAGGAACGGGCAGGTCTGGAACTCAAAGACACGCTCAGGAAAGCTGAAGACCAGAAGGAGTGGAGGAAGCTGATAGACAAATATTTAAAAGCGCCCCGACGGATATCCAGTCTACGGGATAGGCGCAGGTGAAGGTGAACAACACTTCGTCTTCACCTACCCCGTATACTGGATGTCCGTCGGGGTTCTTTTGAAGATTTCTGGGGGCTCTCGTGGCCTAGAGGTTACGGTGTTGGTCTCTCATTCAAAGGTCCCGGGTTCGAATCCGGGTAGCGACCGAAAAAATTTGTTCTCTAAAATTGTCTCCTTTCACCTCCTTTCCTGCTCTCTAGCAATGTTCTGTCGTCTGCTTTCGTCTCCTCTTTCTTCCCCTCTCACCTCCTTTGCCCCTTCCTCTGGGCTCCTGATTCTTTCTGTAGTCTTTCTACTGCTACTCCTTGACTCGTCCTCACAGCTGTCTTTCTGCCACACCCCTGATCTTCTCGTAGGAAATATCTACACCTACCCTTCTCGGACAAGGGCGAAAAATCTCGGAGGGCCCCTGTGCAAGTTGCGCACGATAAAAATCCCTTGGTGGTCTAAAATTGATAAGAGTAGGCTTTGGCCGCCACCCATGCAAAATTCAAAATTTCTTACCAACTAAAAGTATTAGGTGTGTCACGTGCGCTCATATGACCTTATGCAGTTGCGAGCGCCGTAAAACACTTACCAAAAAAAAAAAAAAAGAAGAAGAAGATTTGTGAATGCGACATTGCTCAAGAAACACCAACGAAGAAAACAACCAGAAAGGATCCCACACCGGCTCGGTCTTACGACACTGCTGAGCAGAAATTCATAGCTTCGATCCACCTCGCTGACATGCCAGCACTGCGACAGAATCTTCGCTCAAAACAAAGGAAGAATGAGCCATGAGAGAAGCTGCATGAAGACAACATTCCCTTGAGACTATCATGAGCTAAATTGACCGCCTGCGTAGAAGAAAAGAGCCATGCAACACTGTAATGTTAGCTTCTTCCAAATGCAGGATATCGGATAACTGGATGGTGCCAAGTGGATGACATGTCTCTCAAATTCTCTAAACAGAGCCAGATAAAGAACGGCCTCCATACGGAATTTGAACCTTGTCATTCTCAGTTTGTCCAGTACAGCATTGGCTGAGCTAAAACTGCACAGACACTGGGTTTCAAAAAAATATTATTCCAGAAACAAATTATGTGTAACAAACTTTCAGCTTTGTGTGAGGAGAACATTTCTAATTTGTACAACAGCGGCAGAGTGTGACACTGCTCTCACCCTTGACAACCCCCCCCCCCCCCCCGCCCCGCACATACATATCCACTATCAAGAGATCCAGGTTTGTCTGCGATGCGATGTTAGTATACAAATACGTGTACTATGATTACCTGTCTTACCTGTCCTGGGCAACAACGTCATCGCACACCGGACAGGTCCATAAGTGCTCAGTTCCCCCCAGCACCAAAGCCCACAAGGTATCCATACTGATGGTTCCAGTGGCTGTCTGATTATGGCGACGTCTTTCCTTTCCAGATAATCGTTCCTTTCTTCTTTCTCCCCTCTCTATCCCATTTCCCGCATCCTAATGATTGCGTGGTGTTCTGCTGTCTCTCTGTCTTCCCCATCCCGCAACTTTTTCTCCAGGGTCTTCAACACTTCTCCTTTGTCAAATTTCAACTCACCATCAACCACGGCACTGCCTGCCAGCCTATCAGCCTCCTCATTGCCTTTCACTCCAGAGTGCCCGGGACAGAATATCCACGTGATGGCTCTAAGTGATGAGTGTTGTATTGGGTTCATCATATTATGATTAATTGATTGTGATCCCATTTCCTGTTTGTGACAGCCTGTGACAGTGTGATACACTTAATCATAAACTGAAATCCTCTATTTAATGCAATAAATATTCTGTATTAAACAGTAACCACAGAAAAACTGGACTAAAAATTAGGAGACCGCGGACAAACCTAACGTCGCCTCGTACATGTAATAATATTTATTATAGGCAGATTGGTAAATTTCCTTAAGACCATTTTTTCTCATGTGAGACAAAACTTGACTTAAAACAATTTTCTCTAGAATTTTTTAGACAAATTGCAAATTCGAAACTGGTCGATAGTTTTTTAATTCATTTTTATCAAGCCCGGGTTTTTTCAATAAAGGTTTTACAATAGCTTGTTTGAAAGTATTAGGTACTGTGCCAGTGGCAAGTGACATATTCACTATCTGAGTAATGACACTAATGTACAGTAATGTACAGACAAACGAAGAGATGGACTCACCCACTTTCGGTTCCACGGTCTCATCCTGTATCGCGCTCATGCAGGCCAGGTACTTGAGGTAGGCATCGAACCGCAGCCTGCTAGACTCGATGAGGGCGGCACCCAGTGACCACACCAACGCCTGTCACCAAAAGATAGGATCATCAAACAAGTAATATGGTCGCTATTAAGCAAATGGGGGCTATCCCGAAAACTGCTGTTCTGAGAAAATCGAAGATAAAGTTTTTGGACCTTTGTTCAATTTCTTTAAAAGACAAGGAGAGTTCTCTCTATAACCAAACAAATATACACACCAATTAAAAACAAACTTCTTCTCGATTTATAGGTAGGGCAATGCCCACTTTTGGTGTCGGTCAGGATTTCTGGAGGTCCCCGAAACCTGGGTTAGCCCGCTTGTCCTTAAAAGCGACCATAATTATATTTGCGTACAGACTTCGGGTTGAAAGGCGTCCTAAAACTGACTTATCAAAAGTGCCTCATCGTTTGCCAGACATGGAGAGTTGATCGTGTGGCGTGATAGAATAGAGCGGTCGTCGCTGTGTGCGACGGTGTTTAATGGCAACGAAGCTCATACAGTGTCTCTGAAAAATATGTTAAGCTGACGATATTTTTAACTGACTGCGCACATAATAATATACGAATATATTTGTGAGGCAGCGTGGTGGAATCGGGCTCTCGTCAAAATAATCAAAATGAAGAAACTTGCATTTTTATGCAGGTTTGTGAATTTTTATCAACTTGGTTTTTTTTGTTTTTGGCTCAACAACTTTCATGCCCAATAAAGAACTCATTTCAGTGTGGATTTTTCATAAAAACGTTGATTTAAGGCATTAAAATGTAAATTTTCAGTTAACACGGACTCTTAAGCTAAGGAAATAATTTTCTCACTAACTTTACCTCTGAAAACAGGTGACCCCCACCTTCTTCATTTGCAAATATCTTGACTTGTGTTCAAGATAAATGGATACTTTTTTTTACCCAAATAAAGACAAGTGAACAAGCTTTAAGATGATATCAGTAACTCTACAAGCCCAAAAATCGACGAGAGCCTGATTCCACCGCGCTGTCTCACATTTATAAAACCAAAGACAACAACATAAGATCAAATCCATGCATTATCTAATCTAATCTAATCTAATAATCTAATCTAATCTAATAATCTAATCTAATCTAATAATCTAATCTGATCCTATCTAATCTAATCTTATTCAATTTTATCTTATATTATCTGATCTGATCTGATCTGATCTTATCTTATCTAAGGACTACGAACCTGTATCATGAGGGCCTCTAGCTCCATGGGCTCAAACTCGTGGCCATCCTTGAGTGTAGCGGTGAGCACCATGGTCAGTTGAGTTACCTGGTGGGACAGGAGTGGGTGATTGCTCAAACTGTCACTTCTCACAGTTAGATTAATTAAGTGGGTGGTTGGCGGGTGCTCTGGTGTGGTTTGCTTCTTCTTTCCTGTCAAACAGCTATCGTCCATATCTCTGCCCCTTCTTTTTGGTGTTTGTTACTCTCTTGCAACACATCTAAT